GGCATAGGATCATGAATAAGGGTTGTTTGGGGTCCGAAATTAGTATTAAGCCAGATTGAGCTCAATATAATGGGTTTAAGTGAGGGTTTGTATTTATGTGTCATGTATCATGGCACATAATGCAAAAAGCTTAAACCTTGATATTAAAAAAAAATTAAGGCTTTAAGCTTTTCTACTAGAGTAAATTATCATTATTATTAGTTCATCTCTTTTCTATCATGGTAGAAGTTCCTTGTTGGCTTTCAAAATTATAAATTAAATTCTTTTAACTGTAGTAGACTTTCAAATTTAATTTTTTTTTCCTTTTCTATTATGGTTAGTTAGTCTTAAATATGGTCAATCCATTCTACCATGGAAAAGGTTAGTTGATGGTTTTAATCATAATTACCATGACAGAATAGGTTAAGTTGTGATTAAAATTTGGAGACTTTACAAAGTTGGAGTCTGATAATGATTCTAGACGATGTATAGTGAACAAATATTGTGTTGTTAATATATAAATCTTGTCATATTATATACAGACATTCTGTTGTTTATACACATGGAAAACTTATATATTATTCAACTAAATCACACAAATTATATATAATGAATGCACATTGTGTTGTTAATATATGAACATCATCATGTTATATGCAGATATTTTGCTATACATATACTTGAGAAACTTGTGCATTTTAAATGAGGGATAAATGAGTTTTTTCATGAAAAAACATATTTGCATCTAAAGCTTTTGGGCCTCTAAAATAGATTTAGAATACATTAAGATTTAGGTGCAAATTTCTTTGATTTGAGGGTCTTAGGTGCCATTTTCCCATTTCTTTTTGTGTTTGGCCAGGCATTATTTCACATAACTATGAAGATGGTGGTTTTTTATTATAATGAAATGGATAGTGTCATGATATTCAGTTGGAATCTAGGCTGCTTATCTGTTCTATCATCCAAGTTTGGCTTTAAGCTTCCTCTTGACAAGACTTTTTCGACTACAAGAACACAATTGGGTTTAATTCAACTGACGAACACTGCGTTTCATTGGTTTTATAGCCTTTTTTTTTTCCTTGGTGAACTCCTTGGCCTTATTTGGTACGTATACCTTAATTTATAGGGATTGAGATTAGTAATGGGAATGATAGTAAAAATGAGACTTTAAAATCATGTTTAATATGAGAAAATACTTATTTTTATTTTATTTTACAATTAAGTATAAATTATGAAAAGACTATAACACCCCTTAAACTTTTTTTTTTTATTTTGCTTGAGAGTTCTTGGCTTGGTTCATGTGGCTTTTTTTAATCTTGGCAGCTTTGTGGTTGAATAGTTTCAAGTGGATTCCAAGTTTCCTTCTGTCAATAATGAGTTATGTAGTGAACTATGTAGTTTTTAAAAAGATGTGCTCATTTGATAGGATGTCTAAACCCACATCCCAACTCGATCCGAATAGGGTTTCTAAGTTGTCAAGTGATTATATTGGTCATTGTTAGGCTCCTTTACTTTTTGAATTTCCTTTTGTTACTGTTTGTTTTGGGTTACTTTACCTTAGTTGGATTCTAGATTGCTTATACTCTGCTTTGTAACTGTTAAATTTGGTTATTAATATAATTTTTCCTGTTGTGACATGTAAATTAGCATGAAACTATTTGTATTAGCAAATAATTAAAACACAAGGCACGTACCAGTGGCAGAGCCAGGACAATACATGAGGAAGTGCAATCTATTTTTTAAAAAATTAAAAGCTCAAAAATAGTAATTTAAAATTAAAGTTACATATTTTATAATTATTCTCTACTTGAATTTTTTTTTTAACTTTGTGATAAGTATATAATAATTTTCTCGTCAATGTTAGTAAAAGTATTTCCGTAATTATAGCTGTACTAAACAATTATATCAATAGTTCCGCCCATGTTTCACCATCTTTGGAGGGGGAAAAAAAATAAAGGATTTTCTTAACTATTGTAACGACAATATATAAGATCACTGTTAACTTTGGAAAGAAATAAAAGCATTAGATAAATGGCTTTTGGATTAAATATTTTTGTTATGCATATCAATAATAAAAGTTTAAAATTGATTATGAATCATTATTGAATTAGTTAAAATGTATATTAAAAATTATTTAGATTCATAGGAGCTAGGTGCAAAATCTTAATAACTAGATGGGACAAAGCATCAAAATTTATATTCCTTTCATGTAATTTCCCCAAAAATGAGAGGTGGACGTGCATCGTTCTAATATAAGTGCATTCGCCACCGACACTTGCCTCTGCAGACGCTGGATGATGACAATATTGCATAAAAAAGACACGCAACAATAAAATTTGGTGTGAAGGATAAGTGTGTATCATTTGCCAGGGAAGGTTTTGAAAAAGTCTATATGATTGGGTGGAGGACTAGGGTTTGGTTTTCACGTGTATATTAAATTTTTAAGGAAAAATGGCAATATAATTACAGAATTATAAAGGTATTAATCATCATTGAAGATAGGGACAATGACACTTACGAATCTTGTCAAGGCATTAATGGCAGTTAATTGAAGTCCTTGAATTATTGCAATGTTATGGAATGATCATGATCTTTATTTATAGTTGAAAAAATAAATAATTATTATTAAAATAATCAATGAAATGTTACTCATAAATTTAAGTATAGTTAGTTGTGAATTTAAATAATATTACTTGTAAATAAATGAAAAGTTAATTGTAAATTGATAGACATTGTTATGAATTTAATGGTAGTTACTTGTAAATTTTAGGGAGGTCACTAGTGAATTTGTGCAAATTCAATTGTGAATGAATATATAATCTCATAAATTTATACATTACTTGTGATTCAAGAGTGACTTCATAAATTCATAAGTAACATTCCAAAAATTCACAAGTGACAATGTTTATATTCATAAAACTATATATTCATTCACAATTGACATTTCATATATTGATAAGTGATCTTCTTTAAATTCACAACTAACTTTTCTTAAATTCATGAGTGATATTCTATTAATTATTTTAACAAATAAAGACTATATATGGTCCTTCTATGATATTTCAATATTTCAAAGTCCTAAATTGTCATTAAAATCTTTATGAGGTTCTTAATTGTTATTTTTTCTTAAAGATATTGGATTATTGAAATATTATGAAAGTATCTTGGTTTTTATTTGTAATATAATTAAAAACACACATACACATTACAGTTAAACGAAGATTTCACCCTTTAATTATTTGCATTGGGGCATTTAGTCTTCTAAACTTTTTTTTTTTTTGCTATGCAATGTTCTTTTTTAACATTTAAAAACAATGTAATTTGCCCTTATAGTTAACAGATGTTAACTTCAACCATTTAGATGACCCAAAAAATTATGGAAAAGACCTTGAAAATTATAAGGAAATGCCCTATAAGAAAATTCACTATTACAAAAATGAAATTTAGTAATATATATTTTTTAACAATTAAAAATAAAAAGTCACTAAAATTAAAGCTGAAAGATCTTAGGCAGCATTTCTTATATCAAATATGCTACCGCTTATTAATTATTATTTTATTTATAATTTTAGTAAATAATAAGATGTGGCAGTTTTTACATGAAATGTTACAGTTTGTTGTTACCGAACAATCAAGTTGCTTTCAATAACAAAATGCCACCTAATTTATTTAAACAAATTAAATACATAATTTTAAATAATTCATGTAATGATGTTTAGTATTAGTATAATTATAAGAACTATAATATAAGAAATACAATGTTATTAATATCATAATTACTCATCTAAACATTACAAAAAGAAATATAATAATTTTTATTATCATTAATTTATTAATTTTATTATTAAAGTATATATATTATTAAATATTATTATTATCATAATAAAATAAATTTAAATTTATAAGTTGGAGGTGACATTTTCATCATTAAGAAATGCCACTTGGTGGAAATGCTATCCCTAGGCTACCTGAGAGCTTATAAATTTTAAAATTTCAAAACCTCAAAATTCTCGAGAATGGAAACGTCACCTTTAGGCTTTTAAATAAACCTACAAGGTTTTTAATTAAATATATATAATTTTATTAATTATTAATATTAAATCTAATCATAAATATTATTACTTGATTATAATAAATATAATAAATTTTAGTAATATTATTAGTTAATTATTTTCACCATGAATTACAATGTAATAAATAAGCTAATTTAAGTAAATTAAGTATATATAATTAAATTATTTAATTATTAATTATTACATTTCTAATATGGGTGCTAAATATTTAGATATTTGTTGCTCTATTCAAAACATGAATAACTAGTTTACTTGTTTTAGGATTATTTTGAACCTTTATATGGTTTAAGACTTGATTATTCCTCTCTTTTGATAATTAATAACATTTATGTGTTTATTTTATCACATGCCTAATGTTTTTAAGTGCTTAATCACCATTTAAATTATTTTGTTCACTTGAGTTGTGTTTGAGAAAGCTAATTTAGGTGTGGTATTTGGATAAAACAATGTTGGACTTAAAATTTATAAAAATAAATGAATAGTTTTATTGATAAAATATAGATATTTTATTAACTCTTTGTAATCACATTAAGATAAAGCTTAAAAGTTGTTTTCACTAATTGTTTCTAAGAGATTGTGAAGTTTTATTATTTATAAATATATTTGATTTTGATTTGAGAAAGCCAAGTAAATTATAATATTAAACTAATACATATTTTTATTAAAAATCTGTTTAAGAGGAATTAATTTAAGTTTTTTAAAATATAAAAGGGAGAAATAGTTCTATATTTTTTACCTCTTGAAATCAAAATTCCAACTAATTTACTTACTTTAAAATATTTTTTAATATAATTTTCATTACTTTTTTTTTGATAAAAAGACAATTATATTAAAGTAAAATAAAATAAAAGACATTTTGAAGACTTGTGCCGGTTGTCTCCCAACCAAACAAGTTGGAGAAGTCTGAGTAGATAATTAAAAAAACAAGAAAAAAGAAAGTAAATTCCAAATATCCTCTACAATGACAGATTCAGAGGGAGGAACGACCTTGAAGAGTTCCGGCCTTGTGCATGTAGTTTCGATCGGATATCTTGGAATCAAATGAGAGCATGAGAAATGATAGATCCAAGAAAGACTTCGTCTCAGGCAATCCAATCTAAAAGTAGACACCGAATGATCGTAGGATTCAGATCTAATCCATTTGATACATTGAAGGAAGCAACCCTTGAAGCTGATGTCAAAGAGAATAAAACTTCCATGGATCCCTTTACCTGATCTGCAGAAGAGTGCCTAGCCATCCTGATTCGCGGAGCTATGAGGAGCAGGCGAAGAGATCGTCTGTTGTGGGACAATAGGCACAGGTAAGGCTTCATTCTCATCGTAATTTTTACAGATTACTGTTGAGAAAAAAAAATACTATGTCTGATTTCTTTGATAGCTGCATGAGGATCTAGGAGTTTTCCTTTTTGGATAGAAAGATTTCTTAGTTCCCATATCTTATGAAGCATGAAAATCAGCTGAATAAGGATTTCATCATCTTTCCTTTCCAAAAGATTGTTGATAAAAACACTTAGACCTTGAAGAGGTTGGGAATAATCTCCTGATAGAGATGAAGATGTAATTGATAGAAAATCGAACCAAATTGCTCTAGAGAATGGACATGACAAGAAAAGATGATCCAAAGTTTCAATAGTGTCACAGCCAAAAGCACATAATTGAGAGGAGATTAGATGATGAGAATTGAGAACATCCTGTGATGGAATTGCCCTCTTTAAGATCTTCCATGTGAAAAGAAGAAAACTAGGGTTTATCTTTAATTTCCATAATTCCTTCCAATTAAAACCATATTGATTAAATCGTTGCCAACTGTATCCTTGTTCTTTTGGAAGAAAGAAGCATGGTAACCATCTGGACCTGGGGCACTGTATTTAGGAAGACTGAAAGCAGCTATTTTTATATCTGCATTACTTAGAGGTCGAAGCAAAAATTCATGATCAGACACAGAGAGTTCAGGGACTGTTATTGACTGAAGTTGATGGGAAATTTGCAAATGAGTTAACTGGAAATCTTGTGTGTAAATGTTGTTGAAATGGTTCCACACTAAATTCTGGATTTCTTCTTGATCTGATGTCCATGAATTATCCTGCTTTCTAATACTTTGAACAGAACTCTTAGATTTCCTTCTAGATACCATTGAGTGAAAGAATTTAGTGTTCCTTTCCCCTTCAACATTCCATCTAATTCTGAGCCTCTGCTTCCAATAACTATGATTGCAATCATAGAGGAATTCTAGTCTACGTTTCAAAACTAAATATTCGTTAATAAGAGAATCATCATTTGAGTGTGAAAGTCTGTTTGAGATAGCCAGAAGATCCTTTTCTAGTGATTTAATTTTGGAAGGTATGTGACCAACCGAATTCCTGCTCCAGTTAGTGAGAGTTGTGAGAGTACTGTTTAGCTTGGCCACCAAAGTAAAAGAGGGGGAGCCAATGAAAGAAGAGGACCAAGATTGACGAATAACATGTTGACAATCAGGAAAATTGTACCAGAAAGGTTCAAATCTTTTGAGGATGGCTTTCTTGAAAGGAGTTAAAGTTGAGGAAAAAATGATAGGAGAGTGACCAGATGAAGCAATAGGAAGAGTACGAGTGTGTGAAAAAGGGAATTGTTGTAGCCATTGTGTGTTACAAATTGCCATATCAATTTTTTCCCTAACATTGGAGATACCTCTTCTATTATTGGTCCATGTAAATTTAGGTCCAGATTGGGGAATGAGGGCAAGTTGATTGATGTTTAGGCATGATAGAAAATTAACTGCGCCACTTGTGGAAGGATTTTGGCTCAATTTATCTGAGGAATAAAGAACTTGATTGAAGTCATCGATTAAAAGCCAAGGTGGATTTTCTTTGCGAGAAATGGAAGTAATCCAAGACCAAAAAAATGGTCTTTGTGAAGTAAGAGGAAGACCATAAACAAAAGAGAGCAACATATCATTACTAGTCACAGGACAGAAAATATGACAATGGATGTAGAAAGGGGAGGAATCTAAGATTTGAACATCATAAGTTTTTTGCCAAGCTGCAATTGTTCCTCCACCTTTATTGCAAGCATCTAGTCCAAAAGAAAAGAAAAAACCTAGAGAGGAAAATACATTCCTAGCAGCTGTAAGACTGATTTTAGTCTCAGAAATAAATATGAAATCAGGTTTATGGGTCTTATTTAGCAACTGCAAGCGGTGAACTGCAGAGGTTTTCCTCAACCCTCTACAGTTCCAGCTAAGGATAATCATGGCTTCTTGGGAAGCTTCTTTGAGGCGCTTCCTTAGCCTTTTTTTCCTTATCCTCTTTGTCTTGGTCCTCATTTTTCTGTGAAGAAAACGCCTTAAGTTTCTTTTTGACAAAGTCAATTGTCCATGTTGTAAAAATTTTACTTTTGCGGCTAGCTGGATTCTTTAAATTTCCTGAGTGCTGGTGCAGATTTTTTGGACCTTTTGAAGTAGAGGTTTTTATCCGGGTTGACCTTGATTTTTTTAGCAAGCTAAGAGGCTTTGCTTTATTGACTTTCAGAGTAGAGAGGTCAACAAAAGGATTTGAGGGGATTTTAAAAGGCAGAATGGGATAAGAGAATTTAGCATGAGTTGGGGGTTCTGTATCAGGAGAGGAGTTGTGGTTATGAGTGATGAGATTAAAATCAAAAGGAGGTGGAGGGGAAGAAGATTCATGACCAGTTTCCTTTTGGGTGCTGCAAATTTTAGCTGGATGAGTGACTGCATTCAGAGAGCTTGAAATACTGATTTCAGTCAGAGGTTCACGAGTGGCTAACTGTGATGAGGCAGTGTTCCCAATGGACAGATGAAGGTTAGTTGAAGGGTGTTCAGCAGAAAGGTAGATGCACCAGCGAGGATTAGCTGATGGAGATGCTGAGGTGGAAGCAAAAAGCCCATTTTCAAATGTTGAGAAATAAAGACTGCTGCTACTTTTAAGTACAAGTTCAAGAGAAGATAAAGAGGAAGGGTAAAGGCTCCAGCTGTAGAAGTCACTGTTATAACTTTCAATACAACAACAACAACAACAACAACAACAACAATCCTTTATCCCACTAGGTGGGGTCGGCTACATGGATTGCAAGACGCCATTGTGCTCTATCATTTATCAAGCTTTTAGGAATATTATTAATTAAGAGATCGCGTTCAACAACTTCCAAGAGTGTTCTCTTAGGCCTTCCTCTACCTCTCTTAATCGGACTCAAAGTTATATGTTCCACTCTTCTCACTGGTGCCTCCCTTGGTCTTCTTTGTACATGCCCAAACCATCTCAACCGATTTTCTACCATTTTTTCCTCAATAGGTGCCACCCTCACTTTTTCGCGTACGTGCTCATTTCGAATTTTATCTTTACGTGTATGTCCACACATCCATCGTAACATTCTCATCTCTGCTACTCCAACTTTATGCTCTTGTTGTCCCGTTAGAGCCCAGCATTCACTACTATATAACATTGCTGGTCTGATAGCAGTGCGATAAAACTTTCCTTTAAGTTTATTAGGCACCTTACGGTCGCAAATAACTCCTTTAGCTTTTCTCCAATTAAACCACCCAGCTTGAATTCTATGTGAAATATTTCCACTGATTTCGCCATCATTTTGAATAATGGCTCCCAAATATCTAAACTTTTCCACTTGAGGTATAATTTGATCTCCCAATTTCACTTCCAAATTATTGTCAAATATTCCTTTACCAAATTTACAATATAAATATTCCGTCTTACTTTTACTCAGACGAAACCCTTTCAACTTCAATGTCCTCCTCCATAACTCAAGTTTGCAATTAACCTCTTCTCTTGTCTCTGCTATAAGAACTATATCATCCGCAAAGAGCATACATTTCGGGATTTCCTTTGAATATGTTCCGTCAAGACATTTAAAATCAAGTTGAACAAATAAGGACTCAAAGATGATCCCTGATGTAGTCCAATTATATAGGAAAATTCTTTGTTTGACCACTAGGCGTTCTTATACTAGTTTTTACCCCCTCATATATATCTTGTATGGCTTTAATATAAGCAATCCGTACTCCCTTTTTTTCCAACGCTTTCCAAAGCACTTCTCTTGGTATACGGTCATAAGCTTTTTCCAAATCAATAAAAACCATGTGTAGATCTTTATCTTTACAACGATACTTTTTCATTAATCCCCTTAATAGATAAATCGCCTCTGTAGTTGATCTACCTGGCATAAAACCAAATTGATTCTTAGAAATACTTGTCTCCAATCTCAACCTGTGCTCAATTACTTTCTCCCATAATTTCATTGTGTGGCTCATGAGTTTAATCCCTCTATAGTTAGTACAATTCTGAATATCTCCTTTATTTTTATAAATAGGAATTAATGTACTTCTCCTCCACTCATCAGGCATTTTCTTGGACTGTAAAATCACATTAAATAACTTAGTTAACCATCTCACTCCTTCTTCACCTAAACATTTCCACGCTTCGATAGATATACAATCAGGTCCGTTGGCTCTACCATTTGCCATTTTCTTAAGAGCTTCCTTTACCTCCTTATCACGTATTATTCGATAAAATGACAAATTTTGTTTTTCTTCACCAGTTACTAAATCCTCCAAGTTACTAGATAAATCCTCTCCATCATTGAAAAGTTTAGAAAAGTAAGTCTCCCATCTATTTTTAATTTCATCATCTGTAACTAAAATTCTTCCCTCTTCATCCTTAATACACCTTACCTGTTCTAGATCTCTTGATTTTCTTTCCCTACTCTTGGCAATCTTATAAATATTTTGCTCTCCTTCCTTCGTCTCAAGGTTCTTATAAAATTCTTCAAAAGCTTTAGATCGAGCTTCACCCACAGCTCTCTTAGTTTCCTTCTTAGCCATACGTACCTCTCCCAATTTTCTCATTGTTACACGAATGTATGGCTTTAAAACAGTTCTTCTTATACTTGATTTTGTCCTGTACACTATTATTCCACCACCAAGACTCCTTATCTCTCAGACCAGAACCTTTCGATTCTCCCAAAACTACTGTTATAACTTTCAATGAACAAACAAAAGCCATCAAGGGGCCAATTGAGGCTTTCACAGAGATCAATCCACCTTCGTATCAGTTGATAAGGAAGTTGTGGCTTAGATGGGACAGAGAACCATTTGAATTTATGAAGAATGGGATTGGAATCTGGGAGATCCACTTGCGCATTTTGGCTTCCCTCATCCAGCCGTTTCCCTAAAGCTCTAAAACAAGCTCTTAGGAAATTATCAACCTCAGAGTCAAGGCTATCCATTAGGGTTTCAACTCTTTTCCTTTTGCATGAAGATGAATGGCATCCTCTTGTTCTGGCAAAGTTACCTAAGAGGATGGCAGCTGGAAGTAGGCTAAAAATGTCAGATGGGATAGGAGACCCCGAGATGTGGGGGGACTGGGATTTTCTTCTTGAGCCAGAAAAAGCTGGGGATGGTTTAGAATGATTCGAGTTGGTTGGCTCCGAGATATTTAAGGGCTTGAAATGTGGTGAGGAAAATAAATCATTGGCTCGAGAAAAAGAGGGGGCAGGAGAGAAGATAGGTGGTAGGTCATTATGGTCAGGTATATGACAAGTAGAGTTGACCAAGACAAAGCAATCCATCAGATTGTTTACCAGGGTGTCCATGTCAGTGGTGGGTGGTGGAGGATTTGGAGCAAAAACAGGAGATGAAGTATTTCGGTTGGGAACTGGTTCGTGAGGACCATTCGCATAATTAATCCCGGAGGAGTTTGAATCAGAAGAGTCTGAGTCAAAGATATTAAAAACAAAAGCAGGTTGGACATTTCAAGTAGAATAATGTCTTCCGGTTTTGTTTCAAAAGTCCTATAGATGGAAGGTCCTTGTAAAAAAACTATCCTTGTGGTCCCACGTGTTCTGTTACGCCTTATCCAATTAAACCAAATATTTACAGATGGGCCATGGTCGAAAGAGCCCCTGATATGGCCTCCAAAAAGGTCATCTAATCTGTGGTGTACATAATTAAAACCAGACAGCACATCATCAACAGAGCGTGGACATTCTGGCATCGTGTGACCCAAAATTCTGCAGAAGCGACATTGGCGGAATATTCTCTCATAAATAACCTCAACCCATGCATCTTCACCATTGCTGAGTGGAATCCTGATTCTTCGTAAGAGAGGTAAGCGGGGATCTATCAAGACACGGACCCTCAAGAAGTTTAAAGAACTTGAGAACATGACTTGTCCATTCTCAAAGACAGTATCCAATAGCATCACCTAAAATGGCGGCATTCATACTTGTGTGATATTCCAGAGGAACATTCCAGAATTGAATCCAAATCGGAAAGCATAAAACCTGAAGTTCTCTGAGAAGTAGGTTTGGGGCCCATTGATCAATCAGAAGGAGAGAGTTATTGATAGACCAGGGACCATTTGAAGTAACAAAATCACGGTCTTCCAAATTGGAGAAACTGATCAGAAAAAAACAATCTATCTTGCCTTCAACAGTGAAATTTCCAATGATATTCCATGCTCGGTTAAGAGCTTTAGAAAGTCTTCTGACAGAGAAAGGGCTGGCATCTGGTACAATTGCAATAGCACAGTTGGTAAGAGAAAATCGAGCTTGACCAAGTCCACTAGGATTAAAAGAAAGGTTTGGTTGGAAAAGTTGATCCATGATATGATAGATATGTTGGTTCATAGGGCAGAATCTATTTGGAAGTTGAAAGATTATGAGAGCAACAGAAAGGAAAGAGAGTTTGTAAAGGAGGCTAGAAAACCAAATAGCAGGGATTAACGAAGGGCACATGGGTTAAGATTGGACAGGAGAGGATTAAATAGGAAAAGAAGGAAAAGGGTGTACACATAAAAAGAGTGAAGGAAGATTTCGATGCGACGTCCACAAGACTGTATGAGAATAATCATAGTGCTTGAGAAGTTACCCAATTATCTAGTGGAGGAGATCTCAGAAAAGATTAAGTGCGGCGGGAGTGATGGAGAAGTAAGGAAGGAACAGGCTATGTCTTAGGAAATGAAAACTAATTATTGAAAACAGAAGACAAACAATTGGGTAGATTCAACGGTAGCAAATGAAGAATAGCTAAAATAGGTTAAAGGTTGAAGACGGAAAGTAATTAAAAAGGATGCGCAGGTAGAAGGATAAAAAATAAAGCAAGAAAAAGGAAAAGAAGGATGGGAAATGAAGAGGCGCAATCAAGAGAGGACCAGAGAACGAAGAAGAAACTCTTCTCTGCTAGAGAGAAGGAAGAGAAATTTCTCTCACTACAGTGAGGAATCACAGGCACTCTGGATTTTTCAAACAATTTTCATTACTTTTACACAAACTTTGCATTCATTTTGCTCAACCTAAGATGACCCGTATGCTTGTGGTAACGCTTGACGGCGAACAACAACATAGGAAAAAAATCAAACCCTTTTTTTCAAAAAAAAAAAAAATCTCACAAGCCAGAACCAAAGGAAACTGGTGCGAATGCAAAGATTGGAGGAGGCAAAAGGGATTGGAGGGAGCGACAGAGGACGACTTGGGGTAGAGGAAGGGAATATATAAGGAAGAGAAGAGTCGTAGCAAGAAAGAAAGGCTTCGAAAAAGCTATAGCCTTGGTGATCGAAAGTGGTCAAGTGAATGGCGATGAGATGGACAAACTAGTTGGACTTGCCGGTGAGGCTGTGGACGATGGGTGGCAATAGGATCCACTCGGTGACGGGTGTAGAACATATGTGGGCCCTACATTTTTACAATGATGGTGGATGCCATGCAGATCATATGTGCGCCCTACATTTTTAAAATAATGGGCATTTGCTCTGACTTAATGGCAAGAAAGTTTAAGGGTTTGAATTGATTGGACCAAAATAGAGTATAGGACATTTAATGTTCCTGATAGTATATTTTAAAAACAAAAATGAACTTTAACCATTTATAAATCTTAACACAATTTACAAGATACACAAGTTTTTGAAGGAGTTATAAATTTTGAATCAAGATTTATAATTTTTCACATCATTTTAATTCACAACTCAACTAGTGTGAAAAACATATTCACACAAGTTTTTGAAGGAGTTATAACTTTTGAATCAAGACTTATAATTTTTCATGCCATTTTAATTCACAACTCAACTAGCGTGAAAAACATATTCACCTATAAACTTGTTAAATACAAGTTGATCTATTAATTTTTAAAACATGATTTATATATAATCATGGAGTAATATTTATAAATAGTTATATTTAAATTATTACATATTAATAAAATGTTATTAAAGAAAATATAATATTTTTAATTACTTATTTATATTTGTAGCATTGGTGATCCGATAATCCTCTAGTAGCTTATCAAAATGGTTGGCTTAAATGATATTTCTGTCTTTTACGTACCTAGGTAAAGAATAATATTAGTCTATTAAAATTTATTTGTAATTTAGGGAACTTAATTAGTACTAATAATTTTCTTGTAAGGTTCGTTAGTAGTCAAGGGTTCCTGTGGATCATCAATCCTTTGTTTAACTTGCTTGAAGTACGCATATTCAAATTGGTTGTAAGTTCATGGGATCCTTCCCCAGTGAGTTAACTTAATGGATGGGCTCAAGACAAATATGGAGTGGGTTTTTGAGTTCACACCTATTGGGCCAGAGGCATTTATTGGACCAAGAAGTATGAGTCCAATGGAAGTTAGTTAGGAATAAAGGCAAGAAGAGAAGTGGAGGACGTGAAGAATATTGTTGAGCATTCACTTGCTTTACTCTTCCTCTGTTATGTTTCTTCTTTCTCCTTCCCTCCTTTCTGCTGCAATTTCAGTTACTTTGGTGTCAGTGTTAGTTCATTATCATAGTTTGTTTTGATGATCTGAAACTTGTTGATGTACTAAGCTTATGGATTATTGAACATTAAAACGTGAATACCTCAGTTTTATCTCTTAATCTGTGTATTTCCATTGGTGATTGTTACAGTTTGCACCAGACATATTTGAATTTCTAGGTCATTACAGAAAATTAAACAAGTATTTGTATGACAAATCTAGAAACTACATTTCAAACCATAATATTATATATTGCGGTTTCATGAACCATTGATATACAAGCAAGCACGATGAGGATGCTAAAATGATTATCCAAATGGTAACAACATCAAGACAAGGGCAACGATTTGCCCCACAAGTCATTGGATTTTGAGTCTCATGATCAAACTTTATTAATTAACAGTGGCATATCAGCATAAACTTCTCTCGCTAGAACATTCTTGTTGATGTACATTTTTAAAGAGCCAATGGATTTATTAGTAAAAATGTAATGCGATCCTTTGTTGATTCTGCAGAGAAAGTGTAGGAATCAAAATCCTTGTAAATCACATCAACTGTACGATTGAGATTTGCCAATTTAGTGGGGTTAAGCAATTCCTCGTTTACATCCTTCCACGCACTTATCACTTGTTTGTTTAACTCATCAATGGCTTCTTCTCTCTTCACGCCATGCTGCTTCATGTAACACTCAATGGCAGAAGCAACATGCCCTCTCTTTTGCTCATGCTAACAAATACAAATTAAATTGATAACTAAGTTGAGTAATTAGTTAACATTAGATCACTTTTTTTCCTGTTAATGGAAGGTAATAAATTATAAAGACTCATTTTATTAAAAATAATCATGTGTCACTTTCTCATTTCACAAAGCCCTGTGTTTGTCAATCAAAGAATCTCAATCCATGAATAATATTTTATAGGACAAATTGGTAAGAAGGACCATGAGGCAAAGTTATTTTGAAAAAGGATCAAGGTCTTTGCAATGAATTAAGATTACGTGAATTATGGTTGTAGTCTTAATTCACTCTTGAATGACTGCTTTTTTTCTAAGCTAAGTAAATTTACCTCTTGGTCCTTCTTAGCTACTTTTCCTATTTTATATTGATGATACAACAAAAATGTACTTGAGTTAGAATGTCAAAGACCTTGAAATTGATTCACTTTATGTGAATTAAGGTTATAGTCTTTATTCACTTGAAGGACTTTAGACATTTTTTCCAGATAAATTTACCTCTTGGTCCTTCTTAACAATTTCCCCTATTTTATATTATGATCTTAAAAAAATGTTCTTGATTGAAAATATTATAGAAAAGAAGGTATAAATTAATGGTTTCCAAAACTTAATTTTGGTGCAATGTTTTTCTTCAATATTTTAAAATGGTGCAATGTTGCCTATACTATTAACAAATTAATGTTAAATTTGACTATTGGTTAACCAAAAAATTTAAAAAAATGATCAAGAAAATTTTTTCAGTCCTTTTGTATAATTTTTTGGCTTATTGTTTGTAATTTTTGGGTCTTCTTTTGTATTTTTTCATTCTTTTTTATAACAATTGGGATTTTTTTCAACTCTTTTCTGCAATTTTTTAGTTAATTAACAGTTCAAATTAATTTTTATCAACAGTAGGACTGAAATTGTATTGTTTTTAAAAGTTGAAGAGAAAAATTATACTAAAAGTAAATTTATGTTTAAGAAGTTTCTGAAATTATAGTTTAAAAATAAAATTAACCTTTAATTCTAAAATTGATTATTGTAATTAATTAGTACCTCGCTAGTCATGATGTCATCAACAAGCCTTCCAATAAGGTCTGAAGCGCTAATGACTTTAGGTCCTTAGCACGCCATTGAAAGACTTCCTCTGTAGCAATATTTCCCATCCCAATGAAAGACGTGGCAGCGAGCGTTCGGATCGCAGCAGTTACTAGAGCGTTGCTCATGTGCTCCTCCATCGTCGGTGTGTAATTGCTATTAAACCACTCGGCCTCAACCATATAGGCTTGCGCCAACCTTTTCATCTATCAACCAACAATGCCAATTATTAATATTTTTTGGTCCAGAATATAAGTATTTTTTTAGCTAATCTTAATTGAAAATATAAATAATTTAGCATTTGTAAAAAAAATCATTCTACTCATATACTTATTAATCTAAATTATTGTGTTAACTGTGAATTTATTACCTCACTTCTCACTCATCATAAATTAGAATTAAGAGTTAAAAAAGAAAACAATATATATTTTCATAAAAATAATAATTTTATTGGTGTGTGAATTATTGTTGAAAGCTGTTTATATTTTAAACCAAAGGGTGAGGAACTCATAAAATAATGCAAAGGAATATGAAGAGAATGAACATAATTTGTTATTAGAAAAAGAGAATGAACGTAATTTCTAGAGTAGTTTACTTCTTTTTTTTTTTTTTAATCACGCAACAATCTGTGATGGAAATAATAATAAAATATTGCAAATTGATTTTGGGGGTGGATTTCATATAAGGCAGATTGTTTTGTCGCAAATAAGGCATTGCAGAATTTCTGTGATATTTTTTCTTTGAAAATACTTTTATTCCATTTAAAATTTCATCATAAATTTTTTTGTTATTCTTAATGTCATCTAATGAAGTCTTCATATGTATCTAAACATGAGTAAAATTGTAATTTGGCTTTAAAATTATAGGCCCATGAGTATTTAAGATTCTAAACTTGTTTTTGGTTCATTTTCATCCCTACATTAATAGGGCCAAATTGTGATTTTACCCTGTAAACATTAGTAGGAAAATTAATCTACAAGTTTTTATAGCTTTTCTCAATTTTGAAGTAGGTTCTTGTATTTATTTTAATCAAGATTTTATAGTTTAATCCATTAGATATGTTAATCTTCGAAGGTTCAAAATATAAATGAATAATTAACTTTCTCAAATTAAAAACACTTTTAAAGTTTATATAAGTTTATTTAATATTTTTTGTAAGAAAAGAAAAAAATTTATTTAATAATATTTTTATAATTTTGTTAAATTTTTATGAAAATTCTGTATGTATAAAAATTATTTCCAAGACACCTATTATTATATAAATTTTGATTTATAAAAATTATGTAATTAATTAAAAGGTTATATAATATTTTAATAAAAATATAGAAGTTTTGAATGAATTTTATTTCTTAAAAAATTCAAGAATTTTAACATTCAGGGATTAATAAATTCAATAAATCAAAATTATAAGGGTTTAATTATAAAATAAATTATAGGAACCTCATTCAAAATTGAAAAAAAAAAACTACAAGGATTTGCAAATTAATTTTCTCAGCTTTGATTGTTCTTAATTTTTTTTGATAAAATTATTCTTACATATGGAAAGATCTCTACTCTACTGATATTTGATGAAAAAAATTTAGCCAAATGTTACCTTCTGCATCAGAAAATTAGTAGAGGCATGAAAGAAAAAAGTATCTTACTTCATCTTTGGCATACTTTACACAAAATGCTCTTCCTTCCTTGGTCATTTCTTGCCTGATGTCTTCATAAATATCTAAAAGTGCCTCATAAAAGAACTTCATGTATTCTGGCAGAAAATCAACGCACGTGATATCCCATCTGAAGTGGCATTTTCCAGAACTCTCTTAATTTGGACTTATTGGTAAACCAAATTCTCTACTTGAATTAAAAAAAAAAGGATTAAAGGAAATTTTTACCTTTAAACTATAGATGCTGAAGTATCTATGACTTTAAACTCATTTTTTACGCAATATTCCTCTCCAACTTTATAAAAACAGTGTAATTTAATTTTAACTATTAATTGACTAAAAAATTATAGAAAAGAACCTCAAAACTTAAAGAAAAGAAATTTTTTTATTCTTTTATGTAATTTTTTGGTCCTTGTCTGTAATATTTTAGTCAACTAATAATTAAAGTTAATATTTGTTAATGATAGAAGTTATATTGCATCATTTTCAAAAGTTAAAAAAAAATGTTACATTAAAATGAGTTTATGGTATCAAATATTCTAGATCTATAACATAGGGACAAATTTAATATTTAATAAAAAAAAGGCTTGGTTTTTCTCGACTATATTTTTTTCTCTACTACACTTCTATTGTAAATATGAACTGTTCAAATTAAATTTTAATAATATAAAATATTCTATACTTTTAAAAATAATAAATTTATATTATCAAATCTAATTTTACAGTCTAGATTTGCACAGCTTTTTCAGATGTTTGGTTATTGATTTGAAGTTGGCAAGTGATCAAACCTCTCGATCGCTGTGGTCAAGAGTTGCAACTCTTCAAGTGTACCATACACGTCATAAATATCATCAAGGACTGATATGAAGCAAATAACTTTGGTAGTTATTTTTCTTGCTAGAGAATAGTATGGCTCAAAATACACTCCCAGTATCCAATAGTAACATTCCACCAATCTATCACGTGCAAATGGAAGCTTTTTGGCAAAATCTAGTTCTTTCCACCATCTGTATATAATCAAATCTATAAGTAAGACTTTAGTATATAAAGAATCACTATTCCAATTGCTGTATATTAAAAGGCTAAAGAGTAATTTCTCTCTTAAACTGTATATCCAGGTAAGTTTGGGACTCTAAACTCTTAAATGGTAAATCTGCCCTAAAACTATAGATACAGGAGTATGACAATAAAGTCTTAAAACAAAATTTATAACAATTAAGTCTCTGTCAAAATTTTCTGAAAACTAAGTTATAAATATTAATTCAAATAGTTGCAAATAGAAATCCCAATTACAAATTGAGATTTATATTTAGAATTTAAATATCTTATTTTCAATTAAAACTTCTAAGTTTGCAACATTTGATGAATATATATTTACAATTAATTTTATAGAAAATTTTCTCAAGGACTTAACTGTCATAAATGCATTGTTTTTGGATTTTAATATCATCCTCCCTAATTATTATGGTTATCAGTTTAGGAAAACTTACTTGGAAACATTTCCAACTTCACATTGATGTAACTTTTGAAGCATGTTGAAATTCAACTTTGCAAAGGTGAGCAAGGTTTCATTGTGTGAAGACTCATGTTGATAAAAGGAAATATAATGCCGAGCCTCTAGTCTGGGGTAATTTTTACGAAGTGGGTGTTTGAAGCTATAGTTGACTTTTGTAGCAAGAGATGAATCCAAACGATCGGCCATTGATTCAAGATGAGTAGTAGTGAAAATAAGTGCCTCATCCAATATATCTTCTCCATGAACTCTAAGATGTGCAGCTTCATATAAGCTTAGCATTCCCTCAACATCAGTAGTTAGTTCTTCCATAAAATTGCCTTGCTCATCTTTGAACTTTTCAAACACAGCTATACATATGAAGAAAACAATCACTAAAAAGTCAAATAATATTTTTGTCATGTCACTTGTATCCATTTATTGCTTGTTTGTTTAAATACATATGTTAGGTAGTTGCAAAAGAGAAAACAAAACAGTTGCTTGAAGGAAAAAATGTTGTTGTGGACAGGAAATTTTCTGCTACAAGTTCATCACAATTGCAGAAAAAGTTTTTACCACAAAATTTGCAGTAAAATCACAAGTCATATATTTTTGGGCCAAATGTATAACTTTATATAAGGTTTTAGTTTAATCTTTTAATTTTGTAAATTATTTTTTTAATCCTCTAACCTGAACGTTGTTAGTTTCAATTTATTATTTTTTATTTCAGTCATTATCATTTAAAAAATTAAACTTATATGTTAACATTTAAAAATATTTTATTAATATTTAAAGGTTTAATGTAGAAATTTCTTATTGATGAAACTAACGGTGTTAGTATTAAAAGAATTGAAAAGGTACTATAAAATAAAATCTTGTATAAATTAAACGATTAGATTAAAGATGTACTTGAGCCTATATTTTTGTTAGGTCCCCACTTGTATCCATTATTTGCTGCTTATTTGTCTTAATATGCATGTCAAGTTGACTGTCAAGTTGCGCAGAGAGAAATTGACACACGGAGGTGGACTCCACTTTTACAAGACCTACATTATCTACGACAAAAACATAAAACTAGCAACACAATTTTGTGATTTTGAACCCATTCACTTTATAATTTTCTATTCTGACCCCATTGAGCCCAAGCTTAGACATATTTGGGTTCAACATTCTTTTATAGGTCTTTGAGATTTTTATTTAAGCCAAATAAACACAAAATTTTGGACCAATGCTCAACTTAAACAAATAATTTTTTATATATTGTGTAAAAACATAATTAAATTTTCCCTATTGGCTCAGGGTCCTAGATCCACCATTATTATTGTTCATGATTCTCTATGCACCACATGGCAAATATTATCATTAAGAAATACTTCTTCCAGTCCAAAATATAAGCACATTTTGACAATAACCCGCATACCAATAAAATCTCTATTATCATAAAAATATATGTTGTTTTCTTAATTTCAATTTATAATGAGTGAGAAGGTTATAAATTTACAGGCACAGTAATCAAGGTTAATAAATATAAAGGATGAAATGGAAAGTTTGTTTTACAAATGCTAAATTGCTTATATTTTTGACTAAAATTAACAGAAAAAATGCTTATATTTTGAATCAAAGGGAGTGAAAAACAAAAAACAAAACTTGTTCACAGTTTATTTTATCTTGCTTTGATTGTTTTTCCTGAGTCTGAGTAAAGAATCATATTGTCAGCAAAAATAAGACTCAGCCTTACCTACCCCTCTTTTCTCTTTAAAAGAGTGTGTTTCGCCAGATCCAAATCAGAAATAGATAGGGTGAATTAAAATACCAGGTGAAATGCGATATCCATGTTGCCTTAGCAGCCTAAACAAAAGTGCAAGAGCATTCAGGTCGTCTTTTTCTTCGAAGGTAGTTATTGTACCACTTTCAATGTAACTGTCATGAATCTGTTGCAACAGATCGTCAATCTCAAGTTCAAAATGGTAGTCCACACCTAGACGTTGGATTGCATCGATCAAATTCATTTTTTCTGCAGGCTTCTCAGTTGGAAACACAAGCATCTTCCTTACTTCTTCTTTGAGTATTTTAATCTGCTTCTCCATCTCCATTTCGTCAGTCCCTTCCTGCAAATTCAACTTTGTGAGATCACTCTTGATAACATTGCAAGTTATGGGTTAGGGTCACAGAATTTGAGAACATAATCAAATAAAAAAGACCTCTGAACTGTTCCATAAGCTTGTTGATGCAATTAAATATGATTACCTTTTTATACAGAAACAACTGCTAACCAAAAAAAAAAAAAAAGTATTGTGAATACCGAAGATTCTGAAGCATATTGAATGAAATGGTCCCCCCAAATGCTGGGGTGATAATTCCCGGAGCGACGAGAGCAAGGGGATGAAGTAACAAGAGGCGTAGCTACGAAAGACATTATGGACATGGATATGCCTCTCTGAGCTTAGTTTTGATGTGTAACCTAGTTTATATTTAGGAATTTCAATTATTTTTCTACTTGTAAGCAGTGGTGGAGCAGGGGTGCACATGCATCCCTCATTTTGGGGGAAATTACATAAAAGTGGTATAAGTTTTGATATTTTGCCCACTCTAGTCATAAGATCTTGCATCTCTTATGAATCTAGATCGTTTTTATTGTAGTTGATATACATAACAATATTTAATCTAAAAGACATATTTATGTATTAGTTTTATTTTTTAAAAGTTAACAATGAAATGATTTTACGTATTATTATTGCAATGGTTAAAAAATCCTTTATTATTTGCTCCAAAGTTCATGAAAAATGGGCTTCATTGTTAAAATAACAGTCTAGTACAGTTATATTTAAGGAAATACTTTAATAATATTAATGACAATAAAATTGTTATATAATCATTATTGAGCAAAAAATCAATTAGAGAATAATTATAAAATATGTAATTTTAATTTTAAATTATTATTTTTGAGTCTTAAACTTTAAAAAATATATATATTGCAGCCCCTAAACTAAGGTCCGGGCTCCACCATTGCTTGTAAATCAATACCTAGTTTCTTGCAGGTATAAGAAAGTGACTGTGTAGGGCAATGTTGATAGATAAATAAAGCTTGTCGGTGAGGAATTTTGCGTTATATAATGTATAATTTTATTATAATTTTGTGTCATAAGGGTAGATCATAATTTTATTTGCACTTATTTGTGCATCTAATTGAAACTCCCTTGTACCTTGTTTTGATTATAATGGAGTTACTTTTCGTCGATCTTAAAGACCTATGGTTTTTACCCTTATATTGAGAGGTTTTTCACGTTAATAATTTCTCATACCTCTTGTTGAATTGTGTTCTATTTATCTTATGTCATATATTTGTTTAATTGCTCCTTTGAGATTCTAGCAAGTGATAAGACCTTATTTCAACTGCATATAAACTATTGGGTTATGCTTTTATCATCACTTCCCTTTCTTCATTTTTGCCAAGGGGTATTCTATATATGCATGGGAGATGAAAGCGAATCTCAGCTCTGGATGCATACCTCAAATAGGAGTAGGTACAAGAGCAGGTGGGTCCGATTTGGTTTTGAAGGGTAGTGTGTGTAACATTCTAATTTTTAATTCAGGAACTTTATAGAGGAATTGCATTTAATCAAGGTTATTTGAGGTTAACTAAATTTTTAAGCAATGGATAAAGATTCATATTGGGCATAGGATCATGAATAAGGATTGTTAGGGGTCCAAAATTAGTATTGAACTAGATTGAGCCCAAGAATGAGGGGGTGCAATGTATTTTTTTGAAGTTAAAAACTCAAAAATAATAATTTAAAATTAAAGTTACATATTTTATAATTATTCTCTACTTAAATTTTTTTTTACTTTGTAATAAGTATATAATGATTTTATTGTCAATGTTAGTAAAAGTATTTCCGTAAGTAGAGTCGTACTAAACTATTATATCAATAGTGCCGCCCATTTTTCACAGTCTTCGGAGAAAAAAAATAAATAAAGGATTTTCTTAACTATTGCAATGGCAATATGTAAGATCATTGTTTACCTTAGGAAAAAAAATAAAACTATTAGATAAATATGTCTTTTGGATTAGATATTTTTGCTATGCATATCAATAATAAAAGTTTAAACTTGATTATGAGGCATTATTGAATTAGTTATACTGTATATTAAAAATTATTTAGATTTATAGGAGCTAGGTGCAAAATCTTAATAACTAGATGGGGCAAAACATCAAAATTTATATTACTTTCATGTAATTTCCCAAAAAATGAGAGATGGATGTGCACCGTTCAAATGAGAGGTGGATGTCTTTTGCTAGGATGCAGACATTAGATAAGACAATGTTGGATGAAAAGGACTAGGCACGAAGGATATGCACACTGAAAGTACACTTACTCCATAAAAGGAAGTTTTGAAGAAGTTTATTTGATTAGGTAAAGGACTGGGGTTTGGTTGTTACGTGTATATTAAAATTTTAAGGAAAAATGGCAATATAATTACAGAATTTACTCCTTTAGTCCTATTTATAGGGCAAAGAGAGAAGAAAAAATTTAATTCTATTTATAGGACACTTGTCAATTCTTAATGCTCCTCTTTACAATTTTTTCCCTTATTAAATGTTTTAAGTAAAAATATCAGTAATGAGATTTAAGAACATTTATTAGAGATAAAGGCAAAAACTTGTTAGCCACAAAAAAAGGTAAAAACTTGTTAAATTTTAAGGTAAAATTAATGAGATTTAAAGTTTTCCTTGGTTTCGAGAAAACATGTTGAAAGTTATTTATAAATAAGATCAAAGAGAGTATTAAGGTAATAATAACCATTGAAGCTAGGGAAAATGACAATTGCAAATCTTGTTAAGGCATTAATGACAATTGATTGAAGTCCTTGAATTATTGAAATGTCATCGAATGATCATGGTCCTTATTTATAATTAAAATATAAATAATTATTAGCAAAATAACCAATGAAATGTTTCCTCATTAATTTAAGTATAATTAGTTGTGAATTTAAATAATATTACTTGTAAATAAATGGAAAGCCAAATATATGAATTGATAGATATTTTTATGAATTTAAGGATAGTAATTTGTAAATTTTAATGACATCACTAGTGGATTTATGCAAATTAAGTTGTGAATGAATATAGAGAAAATTGGCACAGTGGCCGTAAAATATATAGGCCCCAAAAATTCTGGATAGAGTTTATAAAAATTTGAAGTGTGCCCTTCACAAATGTAGTTAGAATGTGATATTCCTTCTTTGTCCAAAAAAACTTCCCTCAACAAATATAAAATTTCCAAAACTATCTATCCAAAATATAGAAAAAAAAATATCCCATGTAACACCCTAAATTTAATTGGGATGTTACATCCCGCATAACAAGTACATGATTCAAAATTTTGTATTATATGCACCTAACAATTTAAAATAAAATATAAGATTTTTTTTATATAACAATTTAGAGAAAATTTTTAGAATTTCACATTGTTGCAAAATAATTGTTTATTATCTAGTTGAAGTTAGCTTGGCTTCTCATTTCTAGAAGTAGAAGATTAGGTTGAAATCTATTATCTATTATCAGATTTTCACCACCTTCCCATCTTTTGGTAGCATTAAATTTTTTTGTGAATTGTGTTTTATATGTTTTGGGCAAATAATTATATGTTTTTTGTGTACTTACTAATCTGTAATCCTACATCATTGATATACGGTTGCATACCAATGATAAACAAATTAGTAAATTTTTACTAATATGGCTTATATATCATTGATATATAATAGCATATCATTGATATACTATCACATATCAATATAATCAGACAATCAAACATAAACTTATTTATCATTGATATACAGCTATAAATCAATGATGTAGTATTGCATATTAATAAAATGAAAAATACATAATTATTTTTCCAAAACAAATCAAATATAGTCCACAAAAAATTTTATATTCTTATCTTATCACAAAGAATCAAATACCTAAACTAATAAAATAAAAAATCATGAATTTACTCCATTTCCACTTTGACATGCTCCGTTTTGTCGAGTAATGTCAATGTCTCTTGGCTCACATTTTTCTCTCGTTGTCATAACTATGACTCACTCACATTGCTCTACTTTCTTTCGTTGTTGAGTTGTTTCTTCCGTCATGATTGTAGCTCGCATTTGTCTCTCTTGTTCACCTAATTTCTCGTATTTTGAGTCTCTTCTAGTATTTATAAAAAAGCAGAGTGTTATTATTTTAAAAGGATAGTTTTATAAATTAAATATCAACTAAATATTAAAAAGGTCATTTTTGAAATTTAATAAAGGATAGGCTGTTTCTTTTATTTGGTCTTATGATATAGGCTATATATGCAAAAGCCCCATAAATATATAATCTCATAAATTTATACATCACTTATGACATGTATAAATTCATAAGCAACATTCCAAAAATTCACAAATGACGATGTCTATATTCATGAAAATACTTATTCATTCACAATTGACATTCCATATATTCACAAGACATCTTCCTTAAATTCAAAACTAACTTTTCTTAAATTCATGAATGATATTCTATTGATTGTTTTAACAAATAAAAACTATATATATGGTCCTTCTATGATATTTCAATATTTCAAAGTCTTTAATTTTCATTAAAGTCTTTACAAGGTCCTTAATTGTCATTGTCTCTTGATTATTGAAATGTCATGCAAGGATCATGGTCTTTATTTGTAATATAATTTTAAAAAAAACACATTACAATTAAATGGCAATTTCACTCTTTAATTATTTTCATAGTGGCGTTTGGTCTTCTAAACTTTTTTTTCGTTTTGCAATGTTTTTTTTTAACATTTGAAAATGATACAATGTTATCCTTATAGTTAACAAATGTTAACTTTAACTATTTAGATGACTCAAAAAATTATAGAAAAGACCTTGAAAATTATAAAGGTATACCTATAAGAAAATTCACTACTATATAAATGGGATTTTATAGCATGCATTTTATAGCAATTAAAAATAAAATGCCACTAACATTAAAGATGAAAGATCTTTGGTAGCATTTCTTATATTAAACGCCACTGCTTATCAATTATTCTTTTATTCACAATTTTAGTGAAATAACAAGATGTCATGCTTTTTACATGAAATGCCACAGCTTGTTGTTACTAAACAATTAAGTGGCTTTCAATAAAAAAACACCACCTGATTTATTTAAAAAAATTAAATATATAATTATAAAGAATTCATATAATGATGTTTAGTATTCTTATAATTATAATTACTCACCTAAAGATTACAAAAAAGAAATATAATAATTTTTATTATTATTAATTTATTAGTTTTATTATAAAATATTATTATTATCATAATAAAATAAATTTAAATTTACAAGTCAAATGTGACATTTTCATCCTCTAGAAATGCAACCTTTGTGCCACCTAAGGGCATCTCAATTTTTAATTAAAAGC